CCAGGAGCCTCTGTCAGAGAGCTCCAAGGGAAATTCAAGGTCAAATCCTCACCTTTTGGAGTCGGGGATACAGAGGATCTGAGGCCAGCTATACCCCAAGTGAAAAACAGATACTGGCAGCCTCTGAAGGGGTTTGAGCTGCTTCAGAAGTGATGATTGGCACTGAAGCACAGCTCCTCTTGGCACCCAGGTTGTCCGTGCTGGGCTGGATGTTCACAGGCAGAGTCTCCTCTACACATCATGCAACCAATGCTACATGGAGTAAGTGGGCTGCACTAATTACACAACAAGCTTGAGTAGGACATTCCAGTCATCAAGGAATTTTTGTAGTCATCATGGACTGCCCAGAGGGCAAAGATTTTGGAATGTCACCAGAGGAGGAGGTGATGCGTGCTGAAGAGGGCCCACCATACAATAAACTGTCAGAAAGAGAAAAGCAATATGCCTTGTTTACTGATGGGTCCTGCTGTATTGTGGAAAAGCATCAGAGATGGGAGGCAGCTGTATGGAGTCCTTGACGACAAGTTGCAGAAACACTGGTGAAGGAGAGGGTGAATCAAGTCAGTTTGCAGAGGTGAAAGCCATCCAGCTGGCCCTGGACATTGCTGAACGAGAAAAGTGGCTAGTACTTTATCTCTATACTGACTCATGGATGGTGGCAAATGCCCTGTGAGGGTGATTGCAGCAGTGGAAGCAGAGCAACTGGAAAGGCAGAGGGAAACCCATGTGGGCTGCTGCCCTGGGGCAAGATATCACTGCCTGGGTGCAGAACCTGGTGGTGAAGGTACGCCACTTGGATGGTTGTGTACCAAGGAGTTGGGCCTCTGCGGGACACTAGAACAACCAACAGGTAGATAAAGCTGCTAATATTGAAGTGCCTCAGATGGATTTTTATGGCAACAGAAGGGTGTATTATTTTTAGCCCATTACACCTGATGCCATCAGGGCAGAGATGCAACATATAAATGGGCTCGAGATCGAGGGGTGGACTTAACAATGGACACTATTGCCCAGGTTATGCACGAATGTGAAACATGTGCTGCAGTTAAGAAAGCCAAGCAGTTAGTCTCTCTGGTATGGAGGACAATGGCTGAAGTACAAATACAGGGAAGCCTGGCAGGCTGACTACATCACAGTCCCACCAACCTTCCAAGGCAAGTGCCATGTGCTTACCATGGTGGAAGCAACCCCCTGGTGGCTGGAAACATACACTGTGCCTCGCTGCTGCCCAGAACACTATCCTCGGCCTTGAGAAACAAGTCTTGTGGCCACACGGCACCCCAGAAATAACTGAGTCAGACAATGGGACTCATTTCTGTAACAACCTTATAGACACTTGTGCCAAAGAGCATGGCACTGAGTGGGTATATCACATCCCCTACCATTCACCAGCCTCTGGGAAAATCAAGTGGTACACTGGGCTGTAAAAAGCTACACTGAGAGCAATGGGTGGTGAAACTTTCAAACATTGGGATACACGTTTCCCAAAAGCCACCTGATTAGTCAGTTGTCGTGGTTTAAACCCAGTCAGGTAACTTGTTCACTCACTCCCAGTGAGTGGTGCCGAGCTGACAACAATCGAGGTCCGTCCCCCCCCCCCCCCCACCGGGGCTCTCCCCTTCCCCACTCCCGGAGGAACGGGGAGGAGGATCGAAAGAGTGCAACTCCTACAGGTTGAGACAAGAACAGTCCAGCAACCAATGTACAACACAAATCACCACCGCTACTATCAACTACAACAATGATAAGGGAAAATAACAAGGGAAGAGAATACGATACCACCGGCCAAGAAAACGAGTCCCCACCCGGAAGCCCATGTCCTTCCGGGTAACTCCCAGTTACCTCCTGGGCATGACATGCTGTGGTATGGAGTACCTCTTTGGTCAGTTTGGGTCAGGTGTCCTGTCTCTGCTTCCTCCTGGCTTCCCCTCCTCCCTGTCAGAGCATGAGGCTCACGAAGTCCTTGGCCAAACCAAAACATCGCTATCAGCTCTGTTCACAGGCCGAAAGTCAAAACACAGCACTGCACCAGCTACCAAGAAGGAGAAAAATGACTGCTACTGCTGAACCCAGGACATCAGTACTGGGGGTCTGCCAACAGGGCTGGCCCCATCTATTCATAACTTTTATGTACTGTAGAGGCAGATAAATTTCCTGTGGTGCACATAAAAAAATTTGCTGGGAAGACAGTCTGGGTTATTCCTTCTTCAGGTAAAGGCAAACCCATTTGTGGGATTGCTTTCACTCACAGACCTGGATTTGCTTTGTGGGTAATGTGGGAAGATAGTTAGGTCAGGTGTGTATCTCAAGGGGATTTAATTTTGGGGGAAACAGCCAATGAACTCAATTGTATGCTATTGCCTGCTATATAACGCTTCAAAACCCATCAGCTAGATGGCCATCTCCACCTCTCCTGGTTTTGAAAAGAATATATATGCTGTCATGATAATCAGCAGAGAAGCATAGAATTTTAGATCATTTAGGGTTGGAAAGGACCTTAAGATCATCTAGTTCCAACCCCTCTGCAAGTCACAGGAACAGCCAGCAGCAGAACTGTCTTGAGGTCACTGTCGACTGACCTGGACTTCCCTCCGGTCATCAACTCAAGAAAGAATTAACTTTTTTGAAGCCAGATGAGCTCAGCAGTTACTAGACGTGTTTGGCGGTGTCGTCAGCAGGCAACAATGCAGCACTACACACTGTCTCTCCTGCCCTGAAAGACTGTTACAAGAGATGGAGCATGACTTAATGGACTGATGGGTCCTGCTGTATTGTGGAAAAGCATCAGAGATGGGAGGCAGCTGTATGGAGTCCTTGACGACAAGTTGCAGAAACACTGGTGAAGGAGAGGGTGAATCAAGTCAGTTTGCAGAGGTGAAAGCCATCCAGCTGGCCCTGGACATTGCTGAACGAGAAAAGTGGCTAGTACTTTATCTCTATACTGACTCATGGATGGTGGCAAATGCCCTGTGAGGGTGATTGCAGCAATAGAAGCAGAGCAACTGGAAAGGCAGAGGGAAACCCATGTGGGCTGCTGCCCTGGAGCAAGATATCACTGCCTGGGTGCAGAACCTGGTGGTGAAGGTATTCCATGTAGATGCTCATGTACGCAAGAGTGGGGTCACCTAAGAACACTAGAACAACCAACAGTTGGATAAAGCTGCTAAGACTGAAGTCGCTCAGATGGACTTAGATTAGCAACATAAGAGTGCATGGCATTGAGTGAATATATCACATTGTACCAGCCTCTGGTACAGTGGGCTGTTCAAAACTACACTGAGAGCAATGGGTGTTGGGACTTTCAAACATTGGGATACACATTTACCAAAAGACTCCTGATTGGTCAATGCCAGAGAATGTGCCAACAGGGCTGACCCAGCCCAGTCAGAACTTCTACATACTGTAGAAGGAGATAAATTTCCTGTGGTGCACATAAAGAATTTGCTGGGAAGACAGTCTGGGTTATTCCTGCTTCAGGTAAAGGCAAACCTGCTTGTGGGATTGCTTTTGCTCAGTGACCTAGATATACTTAGTGGGTAATGCGGGAAGATGGGGAAGTCCGGTTTGTACCTCAAGGGGGTTCGATTTTAAGGGAAAACAGCCAATGAACTCAGTTGTATACTGTTGCCTGCTATGTAGTCCTTTTATAGTCCACCAACTAGATGTCTTCAGGTCACCAGCAACTGGCCCTGACTTCCCTCTGACCATCATCCCAACAAAAAAAATGCACTTTGACGAAAGCAGACAAGCTCAGCAGTGACCAGATGAGTTCCACAGAGTCATCAGCAGGCAACAATCCAACACTGCACACCACCTCTCCTGCTCTGAAAGACTGTTACAAGAGATGGAGCCTGACATCATGGACTGGATGAACTCAGCAGCTTTATAGGGATTGGGACATGCACTAAGGAATGATCTCTCTCTTTGTGTCTGTGTGTATGTGTATGTATATGTGTATATATATATATATATATATATAAAAGGTTCAGCAGTAGCAATCATTTTTCTCCTTCTTAGTAGCTGGTGCAGTGCTGTGATTTTGACTTTCAGCATGGGAACAATGCTGATAACACCAATGTTTTTACTTGTTGCTAGGTAATGTTTACTCTTACCAAGGACTTTCTGAGTCTCATGCTCTGCCAGGGAGAAGGGGAAGCCAGAAGGAAGCAGAGACAGGACACCTGACCCAAACTAACCAAAGGGGTATTCCATACCACATCATGTCATGCCCACTATATAAACTGGGGGCAGTTACCTGGAAGGGCTAGATTGCTGCTTGGGTTGGGCTGGGTGTCGGTCGGTGAGTGGTGAGCAGTTGTATTCTCTTCCCTTGTTATTTCCCTTATCCTTATTATTGGTGGTAGCAGTAGTGGTTACGTGTTATACCTTAGTTATTGGACTGTTCTTATCTCAGCCTGTGGGAGTTACATTTTTTTGATTCTCCTCCCCATCCCTCCCGGACCAGGGGGAAGAAGGTGGGGGGGGAGTGAGTGATCAGCTGCCTGGTTCTGAGTTACCAGCTGGGCTTAAATCAGGACGTTTTGTCTGTAAAGTTATTTCAGAAAAGATACTTAAAAATCCCAAAACAAAACAAAAAAAAACCACAAAAGATCCAACAAGACAAATAACCCAAACACACAAGAAATGAGAGTACATAGAAAAAAGGCAATTTATTTCTTTCTGTTAAATTTCTTCAAAGTGGGCAAAAGCCTAGCCCATCTTCCTTTCACCTCTTTAAATGTGTGTGTGTTGCTGAAGCTGTAGCTTGAAGTACTGCATCTGTCCAGCCTCTGACAGTATTCAGTAATGAATTTCTTTCTGCTTTGCTTCGCCTACCTGTACTGAGCAGATATGAAACAAGACTAAATATCATTACACATACTAGGCTGTGAAGTATGACAGAATGAAGCTGCAGAATGGTATGTGCCAGTGGCAGATTAATGGGTTTACTCATTTAAAAAAATAAATAATATAATTAATGTTACTGTCTTTCTGGGCAGAAAACACAGTAGTGGCGAGCAGGTACCTAGTGCACTACCATCACCAACTCTTCTTTCTGCAGCAGATGACCGTAATGAGGTAAGCTAAGAATGGGTTTGCTTAGTCATTTTTCCTATTTGCATTTTGGGGTGGTTTACACTAGCAGGACAACTAGAGTAGCATCTGTATCTCCAGATAGCTTAGCTAAAACCTAAACCACCAGCAGACAAGTAGTACTAGATGCTTTTATCAAAGTTAACAGGTTTAAATATTAAAATTCAAGTTAAGCTAAGAGGCAACAGTCAATTTTAATTGTTTCTGCAGAGAAAACTGAAATACCAGTAGATTTATTACATGTCTTGTTAGAAATCTTGACTTTGAACAGGGCTACTATGTGTCAAATAAGTAAAAAGTTTTTTCATTAGGCAGGTATTTTAAGAATTTGTAGTGCTATATCTATGTATCAATTCTGCTTTCAAACATAAATTTATCTTCTAAAAATGTCTTAAGGAGGGAATAGGGTGATGTGTTAAGTATTGTCACAAAGAAGAAGTGTTTTATTATTGGAACAAACAAACAAACCCCAAACCAAAACCCCACGAATCTCAAGCATAACATGTTTTCTCAGGATAAGAAGACCAAGACCTGGCCTCCCAAGGCACCCTGGCAACATCCATCCTCTGTCATGAGCACCCTACCCAGTCAGAATACACCTTTGTATCCCATGAGCAGCCCTATCAGCCAGTGGAGCGATACCATGCAGATCCTGCAGTCACCCATGTGGGCAGCAGCCAATGACTGTGCTCCAGCAGCAGGGCTTTCCTCTAACTTTGCTTATGTGCCGAAGCAATCACAGCAGGCTTCCCAGCAAAAACAGATGAATAAGGACTTTAAAACTTTCCCAGGGAAGCATGAATGCAGACCATCTTACCTGCATCAGTACTGACTACTTCTCATGTTGGGAAATGGGGCCAAAAACATAAATTACCTGTACTTTGTTTCACAATTGTGTATTGGTTATATCCTGTTTATCTCATTAAATATGGAACTGAGGGGGTTTGGGTGAGATATGCAAAGTCTTGAATTCTGATTTACAGTGCTGAGCAAATATGACCAATATGTTTGTTTGGTATACAGGAAGCAGCCCAAAACTGTAATGTAGAAATGCTTTTAAAAACATGTATATTGCCTTTACTTTCAAAAGTTGGTGGTTTGTTTGTTTGTTTGTTTGGTTGGTTGGTTTTGTTTGTTTGGTTTTTTTGTTTGTTTGGGGGTTTTTGTTTGTTTTGTTTTTTTAAGAAGTGCTGAAGGACTACCGTACAGGAAAGACTATATTTTATAACTATTTTTCATATAGATTTATAATTAAACATCTTACTGAAACACATTGAATATGTTGAAGCAAATATATAATGGTATCTTTGCTCAACACTGTTTAAATTTATAATGGCCAAGCTGTAAAGCCTTTGTATTCTCCATAAATGGTTGTGGGCAGCTCTTTTTAAATGAAGTGCAGCAGCAGCTTTCTGTGTGCCACACAAGCGTGTCCATGGTAAGCCTGCTGCAGAAAGAGTTGCAAAATTGAGTTTTGTGGTAGTTTCCTTACTCTAAGTAAAGATCAGCAACAGAACCACTCAGCTTGTGTCACAAATGTTACCTGAGCTTAAAGCAGATAGCATCTGTGTGGATAATAAGACACTGGTTTTCGAACAAATACAGTTTCTTACTGCTTTGTTTGGCCAAAGGCATATCCACACAGTGCTTGTTAAGTGTGTGAAAGTATAGCCAAAAAGACTACCTGCATATGTTTAAAGTCTTATTTCAGGTGCTATAGTCGATTAAAAATTGTGAGCTGGCTCAGATTAAGTACTGAAATGTGGGGTAGCAGTTAGTTAAAAGAAATTTTTTTTTTTAATTTTTTTTAATTTTTTTTTAAGAATAAAGCAATTATTTGCAGTCAGTGTGTGCCATTAAGTGAATCTGTGGAATTAGGAATAATCTTCCAACCAAAATGGATCTGGAAGAGTGGTACTTAAAAATTGAAGGACAATGGTAAATGTATGTATAGCTATCCCACTGTATATTAATTGAGATTACAGAAGACTTTATATAGTTAGATCTTATTTAAATTTTCAAATTTCATTTTTGAAAGAGTCTAAAACCCACACTATTTTCTGGTATAAGAGTTTTGACAGTATTAATCTTATTTTTGTATTTTTCTGAAGTCATATTCTAATATGTTAACTACCAGTACAATAGGTTATTAGTTCTAACAACATAATTTTTCAACGAACATAAAGAACATTTGTTGGTTTTGGTTTTACAAACTAAGTACATCTATATCTAAAGATACCAAAAATCTAAATACATTTTATATATATATATATATGTGTAAAAAGCGTACACAACACTAAGGCTAGTAAACAAACGTGGGTATTTAAAACCCATCCATCTTTTTTGTTTGTTTGGTGACGGGCTGTATTTGCAGGCCCAGATTGTTACCTTTTGTGCTGTTTGAGGATGCCAATGTTGCCTGTATTTATACTGTCACCATGTTTTCTGAAACTTCATACTTACTATGTTTAAAAAGATTCATTTGCTGTACATAGACTTTTTACTGCAATGTGCTTGCACAATCAGTGTGGCTTCTGTCTGTAAATTGTTTATGGTCTGTACTACTATGATTTTGAAAACCCTGCTGAAAATGTTAGTGGTTATTTAACTTGATGAATGGTTTTGAGTTTCCTAAACTTTGTCATTTACAGCTAATATTAAAGCCTAAATTTGGTTGTACTTACTGGTTATTCATACTAAGATCAAAATGGAAATTAATAAAAACACTTAATTTTGAACTTTTCTAACAAGTGCCAAAATTATTGCTATATTTTTTGCAGTTTGTTCATAATGACAAATGCTGGCAAGTTTCCAGACCTACAGAAGCAAATTGTGAAAAAAGAGCAAGTCTGCCTGCAGTTTGACCACGTTGGTTCTACTCTGTCCTTTGCTTCCATCATTCTGAACACTGGTAATTTTAAGAATTGTTGCACTTGGCAAATTATTTTTGCCATTAAACTTCATTTACACTGCCAAGTGCAAGGGTTTGGTGCTCAGTTAACTTACCCTTATTGCAGTACTTCTTGTGAATAGCTAATGCTTCTGAACTAAGACTGTGCATTTTGTATTTTAAGGCTTCTGTAAAAGCAAACTATTTGCTTTAATAAAGATATACATTTAATAGGTCATACTGTTTAAAATATGCACCTTGCTGAAAATGAACCTTAAAGTATAACTTTGGTTTGTAAACACAGATCTTATTTCATTAACATGGGATTATTTAACAGTTTGAAAATTGTCAACTGCGTACTTACTGACTCATTGTATAAAGCTGAACTTTATGCACTGTACAATTTAAAGCATCTTTAAGGCTACTTTTCCAAGTAGAATGCACTGAAGAACATGATACAGAAAATACCTTAGCAGCGTCTCTGAACATGCAGTGCTGATGAACATTAGCATACCAACTTGAATTTTTTAGGAATCAATGTAAATAACTGATGGTAGTGAGCAAATTGTAAACTTCCCCCAACTCCTAATAAGGCTATATCAATCATGCCACTGAAATACAGTATCTGAGGTGTGTAGGCTGTGCTCTTTCTGGGTCAGAGTACCCAAGTGTACAGCAGACTGTAATTGCTGACAAACACCCAGGAAGTGTATGAGTCTACTGCAAGAGTTTACTTGTTTACAGAGTCTGCAGTACAGAGCATTTCAAGCAAAAAGGAAAAGTCGTGACACAAGTAGGGCAAACACACAGCCTTCTCTCACTGGAATAAAAGCTCTGTTTCTCCTTTGTGCCTGATTGCCACATTATGCAGCAGTCTCACCCTTCCTAGAGATGTTAACATTTCTGCTTCACAAAAACACTGAGTTGCTCCTTTTTTAATGTGTTACATGAATCCAGAATATATTATAATTTACAAAGAACATCTTTAATTTATTAAGTTCCTATGATACAAGGTACAAAACAGTCTTCTGCTTCCATCTATGGCAACAATTGACTGACTTTGTTGTGTTGGAGGTAAAAGTTACCCAGCTAAATGCTTCCCTACTATTGTACAGTCTTAGTCATGAAAGTCTGCTTCATGAGACTGCACAGGGCCTCCAAACGCACCTTTGGTAGCACTGTCCTGACCACCAGGCTATGTTCAGAATTACACTACATGGGAGTTTTTCGGGGGGGGGGGGGGGGGGGGGGGAAGGGGGACTATGATAATATCACCCTTAAGTTCTGCTTACAGCAAGAGGAAAGAAGCTAGCCTAATATTACATGAAAAGTTACATTCACATTTTCAACATAAACGCATAGATGACTTTTTACCTGTCTGTCAAAACCACACCTCAGCTCACAAAGCAAGACTCTTAAGTAGTTCTAGAGATGGTTAAAGCATTGCTGCTCGTGTCCAGGTATGTGCAGTCAGTCTATGGTCTTCTGATGGGTGGTGCTGCATCAGCAATTGTAGCTAAGTAAATGAGGTTTCTGTGCAGGATATGCTGGTACCTATGAGAGGAAGAAACAGAGTACATGGGAAATGAAATAATGTATTCTTTTCTAGCAAACTAGTCACTTTTGTAACCTGATCAATAGTTGCTGTTAGGGAAAAAAATAGCAAACTATGAAAATAACAATAATAAATCAGAGCAAATGCCTCTCTATCCAGTTCTTGTTCTAGAGCACAGAATGCTGCACTGAACTGCACTCTGTAACCAGGTATGTGCTACAAACCGACTGACAGCAAACACATTAAGCTCTTTCTCTGGTCAGTACGAAAAAGATGCAGAGCTTCAGGGAGCAGCCCAGAGGTAGGAGATAACACAGCTCCACTGCTGGGCTGGCCTAAGGGTGCAGCCAGCACGAACGCAGGCTCGGGGGCTGCTGCCAAACTGCCTGTCGTGCAGGTCCCTTGCAAGTTCAGCAAGAGCCGAGCTGCTGCAGAGACACAAGTTGACACTCGCTCTCTGCAAATACCACCGTTTTACACACACACCGGGGGCAGGGAGAAGCTTGACCAACAGCATTGGTTTTCATGCTAACACAGAACAAAAACCTTAGCAGAAAGGCGCGGGCATCAGATTCAGTCTATGCAGTGGTATTTTCGCTTTACAGATTCGTGAAAGTAATTTTTGGGAAGCCTTTTAAGCAGCGCAACCGCACTTTCTTTTTAACGTAGGAAAGCTCTAGAGAGCAGGAACCGCCTTTCACTCTCATCAAGAATGTGGGGCTCAGGAAGCTCTCGGGGCTCGGGCTGGCCCGAAGGAGGCAGGAGGCCGGGGGCGGGGGGATCAGCGCCTGCTCGGCGCCCGCGGGGTCTCGACCCACTGCACGCATTCGGTGGCCCGGCCCTTGCTCTGGTACTCCACGATGCACCGGATCAGCTGGTCGTTCTCCTCCAGCAGCTAGGGCACAGAAATGCGCTGTCACCGCCCGCCGCGACCAGCTATCGCTCCACAGCCAGGGCCAGCTCTACCTCAGACAAACTGGGAGGGGCCGTGCCGCCACCAGTGCCACTACTGCCGCGGCCCCTACGGCCAGCGCTCACCCACTGCAACGTCTGCTGGTTCACCTCCACCTTCCCGCGCAGACGCTCCGGCACGAACGCCACCGACATGTCTCTGCCGCCACCGCCCCGCGCAAGGGCTGACGGGAACCGACGACCCGGTCCCAGGCTGGGAACCACCCCGAGCCGGGGCTTCAGCGAACTCTTTATTCGGGTTTTACATAAAATAAAAACAAAAGAACAAAAGAAAGAAGGCCTCAGTGCAGCGGCGCAGGGCAGCTGCAGGCAATCCCGCCGGAAGGGCTAGATTCTCCTCCCCCCCCTCCCAGGGCCGAGCGCCTGTATTTACAACACATGGTGTTTAAATAAGTCCGGGCCATGTCTTACAGCATACAATTATTGCTGCACTGGCTCTGCCGTCCAGCACCCCCCACGGCTGTTCCCATTCATGATCTGTGGATCGCAAAAGCCAGTGCTGTTAACATGCAAAAAACATTACTAAACACTATTATCTAACTTCTACTTGACCTTACTAAGGAAGCCAATTACAAAATACTTCCCTATAGTGGTATACAAAAGTTATAAAATTAAGATTCTATCACCATTTTTAAATATTCCAATTTTCCAACAGTGCAGTTTTCTACATTTTATCACCACTGAGCATTTTGGGGAAAAAAAAATAAATCAGCAAATTAGTTTTAATCTTTGTATCCCTTTATTCCTGTAGGCTTCATACACATAGACACAAATGACCAGGTTTCTATTCCAGTGCATCAAAACATCATAACTAGTCATTCATAATTGGCAGAGTCCATCTTACATCAGCTGTGACTTCAGTCTTAGAATTATAAACTTAGAGTCATAATGTCTCCAAGCTATGGCCTAGCAGAAAGCAAACAACTTCAAACACTAAGAATTCTTTAAACTGCTTATGTCTACAGGTATTACAACAAAGTTAAGGGCTCACTGTTGACAAATGGAGACATACTTCAGTCCCAGCCACTCCAGAAGAATCACAAACTCATGTGCCTGGTCCATCATTAAAAAAGTTAATATTTATCACTGAGTAAAAGTAACTGCAAATTTGACATATGAAAATTTCTGTTCTCCTTATTTCAAAATATTTCCTTTAATTTGGTCAAATCCTGCAACATGCCAGAAACTACAAAATCAAATCTTTACAAGAGAAGCTGGATACACTCTTCCCTTCATGTGATAGAAGAACATTTTCACATCTTTATTAGAGTCCAAACATAAAAATCAAAACACTGAAGCCTGAAAAGCTGCTAACAAACCAAGCAAAAAGAAGCCACAAAACAAACAAAAAAACCCACCCACAAAAACCAACCAATGGATTCAGTGTTCTTCAGCATATCAACTTTTGCAATAACACAGTAGTAGGTTTGCCAACTTAATATTTATTCTTTAAAAATTAGTTGCTTTTTATGAAGCTATACAAAGGTTGTGATGGCAATGGGATATAATGGTATTTTACAACTATATAAAAATGTTCCTTTGCCTAAGAAACAGTATTTACTTTGTGTACATATTTGACTGACAAAGCAAGTTTTCTACTGTTCAGCCCCTAGTTGATAAAAGTACAACTACCTCAAAAGGGATATTACAGGATTTCCAAAAAACAACCTTCAGTGGGCCAAAACACTCACAGTATCAACGGCCTTCTGCATACAACTGTCCTTACAACTTGATAATTGCTTCAGATACAGTTTAGTAATAAGAAAAATCCTTTTAAGGATGAAAAAATAAACCCCATCAAAGTACTGCTTTATAAGATAAGAAATTACTCATCCTTTTGTCTCAAATATATTTAATGCTCACTGTTTTCAAAGATGGCCATTTTTCAAAAGTAACTGCATTATACCCCTTTGAAATTAAATAGTTAAATCCCAGTGCTGGTGACAAGTATACAGCAAGTTAACTCCATTCTTTGTGGAGACTGAAGCTAATTCTCTGGATCAAGAAGATCTAGACGTTCACCCAGTTTCAGCTTTTGTGTAGATTATGCAGCAACTTTGTTGTCTTTCTAGAGGGAACAACAGTAGAAGGTTAATCTTAAATTTGGGGAAAAAAAATTAAAAAAATAAATAAAAAAAAAAATCACAAAATAATCCGGACAACAGCATTAGGCCAAGATGCAACTGTGATGGCTCCTTCTCGTCTTCCGCAATGGAAAAGGAGACCTCCCTGTGCAACCAGGTTAGCATCTGGTCTATGCTCCCTCGCCTGGCATATGCTGAAGCAGCTTGTGACTTGGACTAAACCATGTGGCACAAATCCTTGGTCTTTACACCACCTCCCACTTGTCTGGAAGGCTGTGAAATCCTTTCATGCAGAAATTCAGATCTTTGATCTTCCACCCTTCACTTCAATTCATGCTCAGCTACCAAAAATGTCTTTGAATCACAGGACTAATTGTTGCAAACTAACAAAGGAATAACTGAGGGAGAGTCAGAAATCTTCAGCCATGAAAAAAAGGCTCCCCCTTTTTTGTTTTTGTTAAAAATATTTAAATCTTCAGACATAAATTAACTGCTCATGCAGTAAACTACCAGAGAAATTTCTTCTACCCCAGTCAGAGTTGTAAAAATCTACATTTCCTTGCACCAATATGGTTAATTACATTTGCTATCAATTCTGAACAGGGTGCCAGTATTACTGCTGTTGCTTCACAAGCCAATGTTCCAGTTGAACATATGCACTTGATGCCAAGAAAAATGGCTTGCACTGAAATTGTTAAACAATTTTGGCTTTCCAAGCAACTGAGCTCTGCTGACTGAGATCATATGTATGATCCATGAGCTTTTGTATAGAGAAGAATTTACGTTGTTTCCAATATAAACTGGAAAAATTACTTGCAAGATACTATTCAAGAAATTCTAGTTCAATATAAAATTTAAGAGCAGGAGTTTGTTTGTTTTGTTGTTTTTTTTTTTTGTTTTACTACCAGTTTCCAAGAACAGTGGATTAGGTCATAGTAACATTAAATGTATTTTACCCTATATTCAAAGTCAGCAAACTCCCTGCCTCCACGACCTCCTCTGAATCCACCACGGAATCCTCGAGGGGCAGTGAAGCCACCTCTTCCACCTCCTCGTCCTCTTCCACCTCGGAAGCCAATCCCCCCTCTGCTTCTGTACCCTCCACGGCCACGATTGGGACGTAGTGGTATCCCAAAAGTCTCTGCATTTAGCCTTCTTTCCTCAACCCAGGTGGGTTGCCGTTCTCTGCCACACAAAAGGAACAAGGATCATTTTAAAACACACTTCAGAAGGAGGACTGCCTGGCTTAGAATCACCAGAAAGCCCATGACATAAAAAATGATACATCAATCCCACTGTAAATCTTCATTATTCCCTTCTGCAAGAATCTAGGTATCTGCTGAAATTAATTTCATTCAATGAAAAGGGATGTTACAGTACCACTATTTATATATTAATCATGCTGTAAGTTTCCCATATAGAAGGACACAATCTGTATCCTCTGCATACATCATCATATAATTAAATTTTAAAAATCTGCCTGCAATTTAAAAGAAGAAACAGAAAATAAGAGTTTGAAGTTACAGATGTTATTTTATCTAAATGTCAGCACAACACCCCCCACCCCATAATTCACAACAGGTCAACAATCCACATCATCTTGTCTAATAATAAGGAAGACAACAGCAAAAGATAATCTTTAATTTTCCTGAAATGCTATCTTCCCATTCAAACACCACAACTGGCCAAGACAGTTGTGTGATCTACTTAGAAACCATTACCAAAGCAGAGTCATAACTGATTTAACTAAAGTGGTAATTTAGTAGCAAAATAAAACACAACACCTATTTCAGCAAATCTGTAAAGAAGATTCTAGAGCATGGGCACTAAGTTCCAGAAGCATGGCTCTAAAACAACATGCCCTGGGTTCAGCAGTAGCAGTCATTTTTCTCCTTCTTAGTAGCTGCTGCAGTGCTGTGTTTTGACTTTCAGCCTGAGAACAGCGCTGATAACACCTATGTTTTCAGTTGTTGCTCAGTAATGTTTACTCTGACCAAGGACTTTCTGAGTCTCATGCTTTGACAGGGAGGAGGGGAAGCCAGGAGGAAGCAGAGACAGGACACCTGACTCAAACTTGCCAAAGAGGTATTCCATACCACAGCACGTCATGCCCAGGATGTAAAACTGGGGGCAGTTACCCAGAAGGGCTAGATCACTGCTCAGTCAGGCTGGGTATCGGTCAACGGGTGGCGAGCGGTTGTATTCTCTTCCCTTGTTATAGCCCTTATCATTATTATTATTATTACTGGTGGCAGCAGCAGTGGTTTGTGTTATACCTTAGTTACTGGACTGTTCTTATCTCAACCCGTGGGAGTTACATTCTTTCGATTCTCTTCCCCATCCCTCCAGGAGCGAGGGGTGTGTGTGTGTGTGTGTGTGTGTGTGTGTATGTAGAGAGAGCAAGCTTTGTGGCTAGGCTTAAACCATGACAAATATTTTTCTATTTTTTAAATATTTTTTCCTATATTTTAAAATATTTTCCTATTATTGCACTGCACTTGGCTACAAAGAAATTTTGTGCTTGGTATTCCTATTTCAGTTTTTGCCCACTGCATGTGGAAATAGGTTTTACTCACTTTCGAATCAGAGCCGATTGTAACAAGTAGTGCTGACACTACCTTGCAACATAAACATGCATTAAGTAGACTAACAAGCTTCCCCTTACCTATTAATAGGCCATACCTATTGTCATCACAGGAGATGTTATCAAAGAAGGATTTGGTTTTGTCATAGTAGCAGTTGGGGCCAAGTGGATCTTCCTCATCTGCATTCCCTTCACTCTTTTGGTTATTAACACCTGAGTCACCTTTGTCTTCTCCATTTACAGGCTTCTCTGGTTTCTCAAGTTTATCTTCTGGAAAATTCAAGTAAACAGAAGCTTTCCAGACCATCATACTAAACAAAACAGCACTAATTTATTCACAGACAGACAGAAACTATACTGAACGCTCAAAACTACAAAACCCCCTCCAAAATTTAATGGGAAAGTCATAATTTGACACAAATTAGGATTTTTGCTGCTGCTGTCTGGAGGTTTGATACCCTCTATATTTGATGCGGGTTTAATTAAAACAAACCAAACAAG